GTGCAAGACAAAGATGACATGTTACCGAACCCAATAGCATTAATTACTAATCGCTTCTCATTCGACAATTTTTCCACCGTACGATGGAATCAGTCCGGGCTGCATGTAGTGATAAAACCCATCTTATTCACTGAGTTATTTACTTGCCCACTTGAACCTTCGAAGGCAGAACCATATGTTGCCTTCTCTTTAGGGTTCAATTTCCTCCACTTATTAACAATCTCTTCTTGTACCTGAAAAAATAAATTCTCATTAAAAGAGCCTTTTTAATAAAATAATTAATAAACTGACCCAATCCATTACCATCTCTCACCTTACTGTCCAACTTTGCATTGGCCACTTTCCCCATTTCATGTCGTTCTTTTTTCCTGTAAATCATTTATTTTTAATAAAAAAACCATCATAATATTAAGCAACCACATCTCCAATTTTTAGATGTACGTGTAACTTACCTGAAATTAAAAAATGCATCTCGGCCAACTCTTGATTGTTGCACATTACTCTTGGCCTTGCATTTTCCTTTTACTTCTCCCCTTTTTGAGCTTCCATAACCTGCACAAATCAAGTACACAACACTATTATGCAATTGTCTCTAGTGCTGAGAATTTGAATACTAATCCAAAGCCTAATACACCCTAAACCCCCTAAACACCACAACATCACATTGCTTAATTAAAAAAATACGGGGACCTGGATTTGCACACCGTTGCTATAATGATCGCGTGAAATCGTTTCACCTGTTTACCTTAGTAGCAGGTTTTCAAATTTTTTTTTTTAAAAAGCACGTGCCTCCCAAGTGATCGACTATACCGGTACAGCCGATGCACCACAGAATTACTCGCAGGTATAAAGCTATGGATAGTGATAGAGGTAAACAAATATCGTCGATCTAAGTTATGCAATAGTACTTGTTGTTTTCGATTACTGTAGTTTTTATTTGTCAATTGCTACAGATTTTTTTGTTGTTGATTGCTACGGTTTTTTTTTTCAATCTATTGCTGCAGTTTTTTTTTTTTTGTCGATTGTTGCAAGTTATACAAGTTGTTTCTCTTTTATATATATTTATTATTATTTCAATGTTTGATAAGATGATGTTGTGGCATGTGCCAGTTTTCATTGTTAACCGTGTAGAAAATATTGATGAAGATTTGGTTGGAAGGGTTGTGTCAACTGAAGAGGAAGCTTATAATCTCTACAAAAATTATGCTACGAGAGTTGGATTTAGTGTTCGGAGGGGACAAAAGAGATACAATACAAAAAAAGTTCTGCGTCAATTTAGTTATCTTTGTTCAAAAGAAGATTTTTGACTAGATAGTGACCCTTCATAATTGAGCAAGGTTAGCAAATTAGAGACGAGAACAGGTTGCGAAGCTAGCATTCGATTTGCATTCCAGGATGAAGATGATACGTGGAAAGTTTCTCATTTTGTTCATGAGCATAACCATGAACTTGCTAAGCCAGAAGAAAGGCAATTTTTGAGATCATGTAGAAAAGTTTCATATTCAAATTTGGGTGTCATTAAAACAATGGTGGGTGCAGGAATAAGGACCAAAAATACATATTCTTATTTAGCATAAGAAGTTGGCGGGTCTCAAAATGTTGGTTTTACAAAAAGAGATTGCTACAATGTTGTGAACAAGGAGAAAATGGCCATGATTAAAGCAGGAGATGCTCAAAGCTTGATGAACCTTTTCAAGTGCAAACAAGCTGAAGATCCTATGTTATTTTACACAGTTCATGTTGATCAAGAAATCCGAATGACAAACTTTTTTTTGGAGAGATGGAAGGTCACGAATTGACTATGACTGTTTTGGAGATGTGGTAGTATTTGATACTACTTATTGAACTAATAGGTATAACATGATATGTGCTCCTTTTGTCAGTGTCAACTACCATTGGAAAAACGTACTATTCGGTTGTGCTTTCTTATTGGATGAGAAAATTGATTCATTTATTTGGTTATTTGAGACATTTTTAGAATCAATGGGAGGTCAAAAACCAAAGACTATTTTTATTGATCAATGTTAGGCAATGGCAAATGGCATTCAAAACGTTTTTCCTGGGGTATGTCATTGTTTGTGCAAGTGGCACATATCTCAGAATGCTACAAGAAATTTTGGAAGTCATTATGGTAATCAAGAGTTTAACCATATGTTCAATAAGTGTCTTCAAGGATATTGTGAGATAAAATTGGAATTTCAGTCTATTTGGGTTGACTTATTGGCAAAATTCAACCTTACAGGCAACCCATGGTTGATGACACTATAATCTTCATGCAAAATGGTGTCCAGTATTTAGTCGGCATATTTTTACTGCTGGGATAAAATCTTCACAAAGAAGTGAGAGCACAAACAATGTTTTTCATCAAATGTCTACTAAGACAATGAGTCTTACTCAATTTGTGCATCACTATGATAAACAAGCGGAAAAAATGTGTTCAAGTGAATTAGAAGAGTCTTTTCGTTGCAATCAAGGACTTCCTTCTAGAATTGCCAAAAGCAGTGGAATTTTGAATCATGCTGCTACTGTCTACACAAGGAAGATATTTAAATTATTTGAAAAGGAGTTTGTAGATAGTTTGGCAATGATGATGCATGAGGTTGGAAGTGATGGCACAATTCACTCATTTGAACTTAATGAAGAGGGTCACAACAAAGTTTACCTTGTCGAAACTAAATTCATTCAATTGCACTATTTCATGTAGTTGCAACATGTTTAAGTGTATGGGTTTATTGTGTCATCATGCTCTAAGGGTACTAAATGTCAAATGTTGGAGTCATATACCAGAACAATATATATTGAAGCGATGGACAAAAGATGCCAAAAAAATAATTGGAGGCAAATGAGCACGGTGAATTATTACAGGTAAATGGTAAATCATCGGTCACATTGCGACGAAATGCTTTGATGCAAACAACTTATGATGTATTGAGTAAGGCACAGAGATAAAAGCTACTACTAGAATTGCTATGAAAAAATTGAGAGAGATGGAAGAATTGATTGAAAAAGAAATGATTAAGTCAAAGGGAGAAGTTAATCAAAAAACTTCTGATAACGTTATTGTTTGTAATGCAAGTGGTTGCACATTTGATGAGACACCAGTACTGAATCCCTCGTGTGTAAGGCCAAAAGGTATAAGCAATGCCAGATTAAAAAGCGTTGTGGAGAAACGAAGAAAAAGGACATCAAAAGATATTGTTTCATCAAGTATGAAAGTTCCATGTCTTGTTTTATTGTTTACGATCTCTTATTATTAATTTCTTCTCATCAGTAATGCTTATTATTACGAACTATTTTTGTAGGGA